GCGGCTAATCGGAAACATGCAGATATTCCTAGGGGATTATGTTTCATTTACAAGTTAAGCCCAATTGTCAGTAGTCCGAAATAAAATGTTTTCAATAATTTAGGGCTTTCATCGTCACGTTTTTGTTGTTTTCCGATAATTTGAGGCCAAGCAAAAGGTCAGCATCGAAGCCAGAAAATAAATATCGATTAAAGCGACAAAATTAAAGACCAAATGCTTTTTAAAGCCCCCAATTCAGACAGCCCATATGGACCTGCCTTAAAGCCCAAAATAAAAGCAATGCATTTAAGTCTACCACCATACATCTGCAACATAAAAAAACATCTCAATTATTTATGGAATAAAATGCAGCACACAATTGTGCTTAAACTCTCGTCGCATTTTATATATTGTCGTTGTTCTGGCCCAAAAAGCGACTTATTAAAATTCAAATAAAATGTGTGCCCAATGTGTAAACTGTGTGACAAATGCCTGAAATGCTAGATAAGGCTGCATTCAAATTGCATAATCTGCTGCCATTGTTGTGCGTCTTCAACTTCGTCTTCGCCTTCGTCTACTGGAGTTGCTTTTTCCCAGCAAGTTAATTGAGAAGTGCAGTTTAAATACTGGCCTACACGATAATTGCCCAAGAGGAAAGTGCTCGCAAAAGTTGGCAAATGAATTTCACTTATCACAACTGACTGATCAAATGGAATGCACAGTTTGTTTGTGAAAAATGGAAATTCGAGAAAATAATTCAAACCGAAAGTCGTTCAATAACAAAGATCCTTATTTTTAATTGCTGTTTGTTGCACTTCATGAAAATTCGACCACAATATCCAGGTAGTGTTAAGCTTAAAAATTGGCTATCAAAAAATAGACATTTTTTATTTTTTGGCTATATAATATGCATAGACAACATGTGTGTTTTTTCCAATATTTTATTTGCCTATATTGGCAATACATTTTGAATTATTTAACATATTATATTTCCCCTTGGCTTTGTTTTTTTTATTTTAATCAAAATTGCTTCACATATTTTTTTAAGCATTTTTAAGAATGATTTGTTTTTATGTGTAACTATTTGTGCCTAGTAAAAATTCCCATATTTAATGTTATAATGTTATAAAAAGAACTGTATTTTATATTTGATTATTTAAATTTACTGCATAAATCTTTTCGTTAATTCAAATTAAAATGATTTTATGCATTTTTTTTTGGTATTTTAAAAATGATTTGCTTAAAAAGAATTTTTTTTTGACATTTAATATTTCTACATTTAATTTACAAACACAATAAGATTGTTATTCATTTTTGATAATTTAATTGCTTTTTGATTCCTTCAAAATAAAATGATTAAATGCATTTTTCTTTTGAGTTGACTCATTTGCTCAATAAACCTTTTGTGGTTCCAAATTGCAAAGAATAGTTGTTCTATTTTCAGCAAATTGGCAGTAATCCTTACCTATTTGATTGGTTTTGAATTCCGTAGCCTTGCGATGGCTTCATTAGCTTCGATCGAGGATTAACTCGCATATGCAAACATGTGAAAGCTGGGGGAAATTTTCAATTACGCCCGTGACATGACATAAAACGTAAATTAAGGCAGAAACGTCTAAAACGGAGGGGAAAGACGAGGGGAAAAGGGGGTGTTACGCTTGATTTGCTCTGACATAAGTGGAGGTCCTGTTTGGACTGGTCGCCTTATTGTTACGCCTACAACGAAGCCATTCCGGCATTTCTGGCATTCCAGGCATTCAGCATTCGCCATTTGCTTGCTCGAGGTTTTTCCAGCTCATTCTGCTGTATATAGTGTGTGTAATACTTTGTTTATGGCACGAACTTTATGAATTCTCTAATACATGAAATCAAAACAGCCGAATTAATTAAATAATATAATCAGAGTTACCAGACCAGTCTCAAGTTAACATGTCTGGCACCTCTGCTGGTATTATTATTTTAGCTGATTATTAGTCATTTTTTATTGCCAAAGCGAACAGGAAAACTATTTAACAATAAAACGAAGTAAAGACAATTGCAACTTTTAAGGAATGAGAAGAATTTAATTCAATTGTTTGTTTATTTGTTTTGATCTTGAGTCTTAGCCAATTTTCGTTTGGAATGAAATTCATTTCATGAAATGGCCATCGTATAAACACAGTTAATGTGTATATTGTGTGTGTGTTGGCCAACAGCGACGAGTGCATGTTAAGTGCCTTATTATCCTGTTTATGTAACCGTGCACTTTTGTCCCCGGGAAAAAGCGAAGAGAACCGAAGTCACATGTCCCGCTGCCGCCGTTGTGTTTTCCATTTTCATGTTTTATTCAGGCCTAGTTTACAAATTGTCGCAACGGCTTCTGTAGAACGTGGCCAGCACGAAAAGTATTTTTTGAATACAAATAACTTAAAGCGGACATTGGGACACTCGGACATTCGGACCAAGCTAAATTGCTCAATTCGCCAGAGAACTTGTTGCCTTTATTTTCCGGCCAGCACTTTTCGAGTAAATAATTCCGGAGCCCCCAGAATAGTTTCAAGTTCACTTCGTTCTCGAGGAGAAACTTCAGGCCAACAAAATTGAGGTTTACGAAAATTTCTTGCTGTCTTTCGGCTCCAGAGTTTAAGCTTAATTAAAGTGTCTGCTTTTTACACTTTCTGGAAAGAGAACAAGTTAAGCACATGTTAATAAAACTAACCGGCATTAAATATTTACTCGGATGGCAGGCAATCTCCTGGAAACTGGCAAAAAACATCTCTATTTTTAGACGACGAGAGTGACATGATTAAAACATTTAATTAGCTCAGAAAAAATTTCAAAAAATCTACTTTTTCTTTCCTTTAATAATTATCAACCCTATATTATAATCAAGATATTTAAATTTAACATTTTGAATTGTATAGATTTTTCATTAATAAACCCCTATTTAGATTTTAATAACCATATTAGATTGTTAATAAGTTTTTGCAAATTTTAAATTATTTATTATTTGTATTCATGATTCTGTTTTCTTATTATTTAAATACATATATATCACTGAAAAAAAATATAAAACATTTATTATTTAACTTTTTAAATCTTTTTTACTCTTTTTAACGCTGCAAGTTCAAAAAATAATTATTATTAAGTTTTGCAAAATGTCTATATTTCGAAAGTTAAATAAAATTTAGCATTTTAAGATATGGACTGTGAGTATATTTTTGTATATTGTTAACCAATTGCCAATGGCGCTGATTAGCCCATAAAACATGCAAGAAAAGGACTTTCCCCGTCATATACACAAATTTCTGCCTGTTTTCAAAGGAATTTGCTGTTTAAGAAAAAATTCTTTTGTTATTTCGCAGCCTCTTTGCAAATCCTAGTTTCTTTTGCGGAAATTCGTAATCGTTGATCGATTGAAGTCCTCAGCATTTCCCACTTCGATTAGCAGCTGCTGTAAAGTTTGCCATGACCAAGTTTCTAGGGCCACTGACTACGTTTCTCTACTTTCTGCACTTTCCATCACCCCAGCAAGTGTATTTATCATGATTTAGATCCGGACGTAGAAAAACTTCGTACACTGATATAACAAATGGATTAGTAACAACAAATCCATGACTATGGAATACCAAATTTTATATTTAATAATTTAACTAAATATTAAATAATTATATTTAATATAACGCATTTTAAATTGCATGATTTAATATAAAAATATTTTTATTAGTGTTCAAAATATTATTTTTAAAAAAGTTCCTATTTGATTTAAAAGCATTTTATTTAAGTTAAATGTAGTTCAAATTTAAATAACTTTTGAAAATAGTCAAAGGAAAATTTTAAAAATATCTAAAAAATGGAAAATTGATAACAAAATATTCCTATTTAGTAAGTTTTCTTTAGCAGTGTAGTGTAGCCGGGATATTCCGGGCATTGGCGTTTGCTTGCCTTCGCGCTCTCTCGAGCACTTCAGTGCAGGCTAATTACAAAAAGTGAAAACACAATTCATTTTCCTTGTGGCTTATGCGTTTTTCCTTTGGCCGCCACGCCCACTTTTTCCGTCGTCGCCGCCTTGCAGCGTTATAAAAATGTTTATGGCCGACGTTTGTTGCCATAAAAATGCGAAGTTGTCGGGGCTACCGTTGCGAATGCGATTACTTGACGACCAGAAAGGTCACTCAGCCGTGTCCTTGCTGGCACACCACCACCCACCGCCCAAAAAACACATCCACCACCACCCACACCCATGTGTGTATGTGTGCTGGTATTTATGGCATTGTGTTTGTTAATAACATTTGCAGCGAGTGCATTCCATCTCTGACGTAATGCCCCCAAAGGGCTAAAACACCTCACTTTTGCACCCTGCACCGTTTATGGCCAATACAATTGCCGCCGCATACTCTGTATTATAAAATGGGCGTATGTGCTGGTACCAATTTGTGCTTTCGACCTAATAAACTTTATAAAAATTGCCGCGTTTTCTGTGTTTATGAGGATATAAATAACTCAAATTAAAATTTCTGATGAATAATTGTCATACGAGGCTTAAAATAAATTTTAATTATTTCATTTTAGCAGAAAACAAGTTTGATAAAAAAAAATATACATGTTTAAAAAAAAAAAGATACTAAAATGTCTTAAATTGTTTTATTTCGCAAGAAACGACATCCAACATTAGTTTCTGGCTTAGTAGGTAAATAAAGCCTTTAAGAAAAGTCAAAATTAAAAATCATTGATGAACATTTGTCATTTGAGGCTTACAATTAATAGGTACTTTAAGTAACGTTACTTTGATGTCGATTTCTTTACGAATCCCTGTTTTGTTTTTCGCCATGCCCCTTTTTGAGTAAAAATAATATTTCTAACTGATTTTGATCTGCCATAAACACTCTGGACTTTGTGCTCCTTTGTTTGCTGGATACTCGGTGCGTTGCCACACTCGAACTCGAATTTGAAACTAGTTGTGGCCGTGTTGTCCTAATTAATTTAAGTTCGCTCCCGCAATCTAGGCACCGCTCTACTCTTCTCTTGGTTTTTCTTTACAGTACTTGGCCATGCAATTACGCAGAATGCCGTTTGCCTTTTAAGTTGCATATTGTTCGGCGATCGGAGGAGCGGCAAAGGCGGTGGAAAAGCGTGGAAAAGCGTGGAGAAGCGCGGAAAAGCGCGGAAAAACGGACGTTAAGCAGTGACAGTGGCAGTAAGTTACGGGCCAAGTTTCGCCGGAGTCGCCTTGTCGCTGGCGCAACTGGCATAACTCAGAGCTGATGAAATATGGAGCTGCAGCAGGTCCTCTGCTGCACACTGCTCCTGCTTTTGGCCCGGATGCAAGGTGAGTTTTCGTCTTTTCGTCCCTTTTCGTCCCTTTCCGTCTATTTGGTCCTTCAAGACCATCAGCAGAAGAGCCATGCCATTTGGTTAATATTTGCCCGCTGTCAGCGCATTCGCTTTGATCTAGTCAAAAATTGAATAATTTGCTCCCATTCTCAGTGCACCCTCCCCCCACACTTGCCACGCCCCTTTTTCGGGTCAGTGTCAACCGTGTCAACGATATGCGATATGCAAATTTTCCACATCAACCTGACACGAGCTTGCATAACTTGCAACACTGCAAGTTGGGCAAACAACAAGTAGAACAACATCAACACGAGCAGCAGTAATAGCAACATCAATGCACTGCAAAAAAATACTAAATATAATTGGGCTGTTGCGTAAAGCTTAAGGATATATTCATATTAAAATACTAAGCATGATCGGGTAAAAGCTTAAGTATATATTCATATTCAAATACTAAATATAAATTATTTTCATAAAAAAATGGTATAAAAAAAGTAAACATCTGCTGTTCTCTCACCCAGAAAAATAAAATCCTCGATTTTGGGAATATGTTCTTATTTTAAGAAATAATGAACTAAAAATGGCCATAAAAGTGAACCTGACCAAAATGACCTCAAAAATAACTTAAATAATTTTTAAGATAAACTTTTCTAAACATACATATATGTTTTCGAAGTCCATTGGTTCATTTTTTCTTGAATTATGGAATTTATTTCCTAAAATCAAGGAACTTTATTTTCTGAGTGCAGACATATGATATAAATAGGTACTTTTATTTATTTTAAAAATAATAATAATAATTTGAATTACTTACTAAAATGCACTCGAATGTATTTTTAATTACAATTGAGTTCATAATTTAATAATGATAATAATGATGTTATGAAATAATTCGAGTTCAAACTTTAATCGTGTTAAGAATATGGTTATCATATGGCCAAACAAAATCAAATTGAACAAGCTTAAAGTTTAACTGGCAATTTTGAAAAGAAGTTGGTTAAGTTTTATTTTCCGTCGTGTAAAATATCCATTTTAAAATAAGCAATTTATAAAAAACAAGAGAAATATTAGCCAAGGCATGATCTGAGTATGTAGCTGACCATTTTTTTTGTAAGTTCTCTAATTCTTTAAGAGTATTCCATAATGAATATGTATATAAAATTCTGCAGTGCACTTGCTGGCAGTCACGTCCTCCGATAAGCTTCCTGTGCACTTGAGGTTAGTGCCGCCTGCTGCCCTATCAGTGCCACAGATCTGTCATCGTAAATTCAACATTAATTGCGGACGAGGGTTGCCACCCACCGGCACAGATAATGAGCAACAGAATAAATAAATAAATTGCAGCTAAAACGACGGGGAAAAGGAGAAAGGGCAGCCCGAAATTACCAGAAACGGATGCAAGTGACCAAAAAGTTTGCACATTAATCGAGGCCACTTAGGACAAGTTTCGAAGGGGAAATCAGAGGACTTAAGGGACACAGGGGACATCTGCATCTCTGCTCATTTGCATTCAATGCAACTCAAATCGATAGATGCAAATGCGTAAAAGTTTTCGCGCCCGCACACAAAAAATGAGAATCCATTCCAAATTTGATCAAATTTTAAATTAAATAAGAGGGCGGGACGGAGTGAATGCGTGGCAATTGGTGCTTAAATATTGAGTCAGTTTTTAGTTGCCAAATTAAATGGCAAAAACACAAGAATTTAAATAAACTAAAAGTATATTGAAAGCATTTAAGAAGATAATAAATGTGAAATGTGCAATTCAAGTTCTTGGTATTTTATGGCAAACACAAATGAATTTTAATATTCAAAATATGTAGTAAATGTATTTAAGAGAATAATAAATATTTAATGTGTTGCAACTTAGGCGCTTGGCAATATTTTTAAATAATAATTTTTATATTTTCTGTCTGTCCAAAGGTGATTTCGCATTTGACCCCACGGCTATGACCTACAGACTGTTCAAGCCGACACTCATAAAATTTGCAACTACTTAATATTTACTTCTATAAATTGACTTTAAGGCTCGCCACAGACATATATAGCACTATATATATATAATATATATATATATAGACAAATATATAGCCGACGGCCGCTTGAAAATTCAGCACGTCGGTAAAGGCTAGGATAGCCCAAAAAAATATATAGATATATATATAAGTATAGGAATAAGGAAAATATAACGAAGATGAGAAAGAGGAAAAAAAAAATGCAAAAAGCAGTTGCAGGGAAAAAGAAATGTTCATGCAATAAATTCACGTTGAAATTTTGCAATAGTTGCGTCTGCGAGTTGCAGGCAGTAAACGCTCGAGGAGAAGCTCCTCTTCTTCTTGAGGAAATAAAATTGAGAAAGGGGTTTGAGGGGGCTTGAGGACCCCTTAAATCCATCCCCCCACCAACCAACCAGCCCACTTTGAGTTGAGTGGTTCCTGCTGCTGCTTAATTTTGCAGCACCTCCTGTGCTTAAGTAAACTTTTCCAGGGGTGTGGGTGGTGGTGGTGGTGGTGGAAAAGGAAAGGGGAAGGGGCGGGGTGGGAAAAGTGGGGTGGCAAGTGGGCGTTTTAGGCCACCTTGGTTGGCCAGCGATAAGCAGGCCGCTCTCTGCACAATTTTTGTTTGCCCCATTCGATTAAACTAAACATAAATTTCATGGACGATAAATCAGCCGTGAGCGTTGGGACAGTTGCACCTGCAGCCTGCAACTTGCAACTGATCCCCTTTTCAGGGGCGTCGAGGGGGGTAGGGCGAGGGGGTATGTCTGGCACGTGTGGGAAATCAAAAGAGTGCTGCCAGAGACGGCCAGAAAGAGATAGGAGCAGAAGCATCCACCCAAGGCTTAATAAATTAATTCGCTCTCAGTGAAAATGCATTAAATAATACCCTTCATTCGACAACTTACAAGCCCTTATACACTGTCCGCAATAAATTTAAATTTATTTGAAAATGGGGGTCGAAAATGTAAATATTTTTCGCTCTGATTTAAATCTATTGCGATTTTAAGTTATTGAAAATGGCTATTTTCGAAATCGATTTAAATAAGAAAAAATCTTAATAAAAATTTAAGCCAAATTTTTATCTTAAATATGCATTTAAAACAAATAGGTCCCATTTTAAATCGAATATTTATTTTGTACAATAGTTTATATATTTTATTACAAAATTATGCCATTTAATATGCTTTGGATTTATTATTAAGATTTCATTTTTAATTTAAATATGAAGTATACAATTTTGATATTATTTGCACTTCATTTTATTCATTGTGCTCTATTTTTTCTCAGTGCTTACATTTCTCTTCGAGGAGCCACTATTTTGGCACGAAAATCATAGGGCAACGCGAAATTGAACGAACCATTTCTAAAATGATTTTTGGCTAGGTCACAGCTGCCGCTGTCGTCTCGGAAATAAACAAAATTCCAAGGTAACAACAAACTGTCAGTTAAGAGTTGAATGCCCTACAGTGCGTTACATCAGAGTAAGGCGGTCTTTAAAGACAATTTTCAGGCAAAAACTATCAGTTAAGAGCGTTTCAACAACAAATTAAAAATAGTTTTTGAGGCCATAAAATTGATATTGATATATTTAAAATTGATATTAAGATTGTAAGTTTTCATTAACTGTGTTCTTTGATGTTTCGCTTTGAAATGTTTATTTTTAAAGCTGTATATTTTGGGTTCAACTTAAGGGCATCGTAAAAGCCATTTCTGTATCAAATTTCTGTTTGATTTTTGTATTTCAGACAGGATTTCTTAATATATTGGCTTATCTGTGGTCAACTCTGTGCCGCTTTGCTATAAATATACCTAAAAAGAAAAAAAAGAAAAATTCTTCTGCTGCAGCTTACCTGCTCTTATTTGGCTTTTTCTGTATTTAATTTTTTTCCTCTTTTTTTTTTTTTTTTGGGCGGGCCCACCAGTCGGCTACGTAATGTGGCACGTAGCTAGCAGAGGAATGGATCTTCGGTCATCGAGAGTGGGGGAGATTCCAAAGTTTGTTAGCTCCTGTGCAATGGCCATAACAACAAAAACAACAGCAGCAACAGCAACAACATCGCTGTGAGTGTGTGTGTTAATGCTAAATTAAGTTGCTGCACGTCGGACCATGTACGTTTGTATATGTGTGTGTGGCTGGTTGGATTTTCCGAAAATGGGAAAATAGGTGGGAGGCTGGCTGGCTTGAATGCTCAACCGCCGGCAAGGCTGTAATCCCAAAAACATTAAACCGGCCGCGTCAGGACATTGATTTTCGCTTTTGCCCAATATTTAGCCAGGTCTGCTCCTTATCTGTGCCTGCTAAGCTCCTCCTCCATATATATTTCATACAAAAACACCTCTTAAGTGTGCAAGAAAGTCGTGACGATCGGACCTCTAATATTACAAAATTTCTGATATATAATTTTATGACGAAAACTTAATATTGATTCGGCTAATTTAATTCAAGTTTTTACAATTTGCTAACTCGGTACGCTTAAATAAATTATTAGGCTACATAGGATAAAAAAAGATTTTTTTAAAAAACATTTATAATTTGGCAGCAAAATTCAGTTCAGCAATTTTAAGTATTAATTTATAAAGGGCGCTTCGTTACTACGTGGAAGGTGCAATACATAGTAGACTGCTGTATTAGTGGAGGTCTGATCTTTATATATGTATATATAAATCTGATGTTTATGGTTATATAGTATTCCGATTTTTATGTATTAGTAGCCTTCAGTACACTTTTGGTGCCCTTCGCCACTACGCGAACAGCCGTACATAGTGATATGTCCTGTACTTTTCCATATATGCGACTGCTGCTCCATTTCCATCTCCATTCTGATTCTGTGCAAATGAAAATTAAATTTGAAATGGAAATCATACTTTTTCTTCACTTATTTTTGCACTGTTGTACTTGTTGTTGCCTGTTTGTTATTCTTTCACAGCATTGTTTTTTTTTTTGTTTATTCTTTTTTTTTGACTCGTGTAGTTTGGTCTTACTTCAGATTTTTCT